AGGGGCAGGACTGGAGCCAGGATCTCTCCCACCCCCTCACCCGCAGGGCCTCTCTCAGCACCGTGAACGCAGGGTGTTTCCTACTATGCCCCTCTGCCCCCAGCAGCTCCGGGCACACCGATGGGAACCTTTCCCCTGGGTGGGAGGGCTGGGTTTTCCTGTGTGTTCCTGGGTTCCCTGTCGCTGTCTCCTGGAGGCCGCTGGCGCTGAGCCCGTCTGCCTGTCCCACAGGAGCCTGCAGGTGTTTGAAGAAACTGGGATCCCCCACAGCGAGCACCTGCATCGGCAGCAAGAGGAGGATGGTGGGAGCCCACTGGGGGGGCCCCTGAAGTACCCACACTCCTGTATCCTGTGGCTTTATGCAGACCAGGCAGGTAAAGAGAGCGGAACGGGCAGAGCTGTCCTGGGGCCAGGGCTGGCTTCCCTCTGTGCCCCAGACACAGGCAGGGCCTCTCCCGTTCCCAGAGCAGCCTCCCTCCTGAGCCGTGTGGCAGCCTCGTCCGGTGCCTGGTCTGAGCCGGGAAGCCGAGAGCCCGGCTGAGCAGCGTGTGCACTGTGGCGTTCATGTGAGACCTCCCTGGGGGTCCCGCTCCTGCCCCCATTAGTCTTGGCCATTCCCCCTCGTACCCTTCATAGCATCCTCCTTCCTCGGGTCCCCCCTCACTGGGCCCTGCAGCATGGCACATGCCTGGTCAGAGTTCTTAGCGCGCAACCCAACGAAAGGCTGGGTCCCGTCCTGTCCAAGTTTTGACATTGGCTTTAATGAGAGCAGGGTCTGCCCCTTACTGCCCCGTAGCCCCCAGAAGCCCCTGTCAATAGACTTGCTCCAGTTTTACGTGTGGGGAAACGGAGGCAGGGGGCAGGGACAGGACTTGCCCAGGCTCCTACAGGAAGCCAGTGGCCACACAGCGCGAGTTCAGAGCTCAGGGCCTTAGTTGCTGGCCCCCGTGGAGGAGCTTTGGCGCTGGTGCCCTTTGCCCCAGCAGGGTGCAAGCGATGTGGGAGTCTCGCGGCGGGGATGGGAGGATGATGATGGGGATGGGTACCTGGTGATGGAGGGCCAGGATGCAGCAGGCTGCTGGGGGTGCATGCAGCTGGGAAGCCGGGCACGCGAGTTCAGAGCTCAGGGCCTTAGTTGCTGGCCCCCGTGGAGGAGCTTTGGCGCTGGTGCCCTTTGCCCCAGCAGGGTGCAAGCGATGTGGGAGTCTCGCGGCGGGGATGGGAGGATGATGATGGGGATGGGTACCTGGTGATGGAGGGCCAGGATGCAGCAGGCTGCTGGGGGTGCATGCAGCTGGGAAGCCGGGCACGCTCGGGGCTGGGGCTGGCTGTGCTGCGCATGGTGTGTGAATCGCCATGCTGGCTGCAGGGCTCCTGGAGGAGCTGCTGGACTTCCACCAGCGTTACAACCAGCAGAAGGTGGCTGAGGACTGGTGAGTGTTCGTCCGGCTGCTCCGCTTCTCGCTCCTGTTCGCGGCCGCGTCTCCGGAGAGCCGACTCTTCGTAATTCTGGGCTCGTAATTGAAGAGGGTGGGGCTGGCTAGTGCTTGAGAGCCATGCTGGCTGCAGGGCTCCTGGAGGAGCTGCTGGACTTCCACCAGCGTTACAACCAGCAGAAGGTGGCTGAGGACTGGTGAGTGTTCGTCCGGCTGCTCCGCTTCTCGCTCCTGTTCGCGGCCGCGTCTCCGGAGAGCCGACTCTTCGTAATTCTGGGCTCGTAATTGAAGAGGGTGGGGCTGGCTAGTGCTTGAGACATCCAGGATTGGGCTGGTCTGATGGTACCTTGGGCCGCAAACCTCACCCGCCAGACCTTGGCCCTTGCTGGGGCTGCTCCCACGTGGCTGCTGACAGCTGCGCTGTTCTGCACCCCGGGGAGCTGCTGTTCTGGGGCCGTGGCACCGAGAGGGGCAGCAGGGGCAGCTCCCTGCTCCAGGGGGGGGGGGTTCACCTGCTGCCTGTGACCGGATTCTCCAGCCAGGATTATCAGCACGGGATTTTCCAGTCGATTGGCTTCAAGGAGTTCCACGAGTACCTGATCACGGAGGGGAAGTGCCCAAAGGAGACCAGCGCCCAGCTGCAGGAGAAAGGTGGGAACCACGTGCCTGGGAGGCTCTCGCTCATGCCTGGTAGCCCATGGGTGGGGTTTGAGTCTGCCCCTAGCAGGGCTGGGCAGTGACCTGAGGACCCAGCGCCCCATCTCCCCCCCCCCCCCCCCCCGGCAGAC